GCAAGAACTTCAGGAGAACACCCTGCATCTGATAGTTCTGGCAAAGGGCAGCTGGGATTGAAAAAGAGGCCAGTGTTATCTTTGTGTCCTGCCAAGAGATTTTTCCCTTGGCTACACCCACACGCTTATACACACAAACACTTCTGAAGTGAAAGTATTCCTCATCTACAGCCACTTCAGCTTCTGCTCTCTTAATCCCTCCTTTTCACATTAAATCTGCCTACCAAACAGATAACACTCAGTACTTGTACCTTCTGTGTAATGTAAACTCTACTCAACTGCAGAAATACCCTTTGAGGCAGCATCTTCTGAAAACAGATTCTGCCCACGAAAAGGAAGGAATTTCTTCTCCTTGTAAGTTTACATATCTTCCACACGACAATAACGATTACATTTTTTGAAAAACAACTTTCTGTCAGAACTACTCTATGTGATGATGCTAATATGAACCTGGGAGCCAACAAATTAAGATTTAATAAAGTGGAAATTAAATTCACACCCTCCTCTTGGTTTTTATACTTCTAGAAAGCCTCATTGCAGAGAAACATTTCCCAGAATATGTTTTTTTTTTCTTCTTGACTTCTTAGTAAAAGCAAGTGCTTTCCTGTTGCTCACCAGCCTGGGCTGTGGCACCAAGGACACTGTTGCATCTTCCGCAGCCAGGAGGAAATGGCCTGCCTCTTGTGGGCAGGGTCGGTACCTTGAGTTGATTAGTAGTTCATTATCTCAACTCCATCCAGCTGGGTAACAATGACTGGATGCCATAATTCCCCCTTTTTGTTTTAGCATTTCTTGTTTTCACAAAGGCTTTAAGGTGAGCAGAGACCCAGCCCATCCATCCAACTCCAGCACGCTTCCCTCCCGCGAATACCACATCGGGGCTTGCGGCTTTACCTTCTTCTCCGAAGGACTCTCGCTCGGGCTCCCAGCTCCAGCTCTTTTGGCTCGGGCTCTCGGCTCTGGCGAGGGAGTCAGGGCTTCCCAGGGTCTCATGGATGTATCACATCGGGGTCACCAGTTGTTGCTCACCAGCCTGGGCTGCGGCACCAAGGACGCTGTTGCATCTTCCACAGCCAGGAGGAAATGGCCTGCCTCTTGTAGGCAGGATCGGTACCTTGAGTTGATTAGTAGTTCATTATCTCAACTCAATCCAGCTGGGTAATAATGACTGGATGCCATACTTTCCTATCAGATTTATTAAACTTTCTCCCATTGTCTTCACTGGATTTGACTTTCCATCTCTGTTTGCACAGAGAATTACTAAAGAAACAACAAAACAATTCTTTTTCATCTAAATATTTTCTCCTAGCCTATATAAAATAGTCTAAATCTACATATGTCTGAAGAATACTTTTTCTAAGTGTATAACCTCCTATTTGATTTCCTATCAAACTACAGGTCAGGCAAAATGTGTCATTTTCTCTGACAAGATATACATTCTCCCAACATGTTACAGTGATCAACTGAAGCACCTGAAGTCTTCAGAGGGTCCAGCTTTGAAACATTTGCAAGCAAGAGGGAAGATTCCCACATATCGAAATACAAATACTATACATGTTCGTTCAAACAAGCATTCACCAAAAGAAATCTCCATACACCTCACAGAAGAAAAAAATTACAGTGACAGTTATGTCCAGACCTAGTCATTAAGGTAAAGAAGCTGTGACACAAATCGTAGTCTAGAAGAAGAAAGATTTTAATAAAAAAGGTACAAACTAGATGTAAACATCAGAGGCTCCTCTGTCAGGGAAATGAAGCAAAAATCACTATGGTAACCCACTAATTTTTAGTTCTCAACCTAATGATCGTCTGAGGAAATAAAGAAAAAAAGAAATATCATTCTGATATGGTGTTTAAGTAAAGATGAAAATATCACAAAATGGGCATTATTCTTTACCTGGAAATAGCAGCCTCATCCCGCCAGTTATTACCCCTTCTATAAACGACTCTTTCTCAGTTAGTGCCAAAAAAAATTACCATTAAAGCAAGAAACATCAATTCAGTAAAAGTTAATGAGTAACTCATTAATATAACTAATCTCTTTCAGTTCTTTTTCTGGCTTGGGGACACTGAGACAGTGGAATTCGCTTTTTCATTCTGAAATAATATTTTGGGAAACTTTTGCATTTACATTTATTGATGGCATATCAGAAATATAAATGCTAAAAGTCCACTTTTGCCAGTGTGCTAGAGAGACACTCCAGTGTCTCTATGATTTTTTCAGGTATCATTGATCTTCGACAGTATGGAAAATAGAATGCTAATAATCTTTCTGCATTCAAGTCAACACTTTCAAGAGAAATTTCCTTATTTGAGAATTTCTCCATTTTGTTCATTCAGCAGCTGTCATTATGCAACTTCCCATTAATTAATTAAAATATTCAATACCATTATTTTTTGCAAATAATTCTTGGTCTACAGATTGTTTATTCACATTCAACTGAGAGAACTCAAATTTGTGCTAGTTACACTGACCTGAAGATAAATCACATAGGGGTTTTTTTATTCACTGTCTTCTTCTTGTTGTTGGTTTTAATCCTGTAATTGGCTAAGAGAATATTATTGGTTCAAATAGTGACACTATTAAACGCTCAAAATGTTTTGCTTAGAATTAATATTTCTGGAAATATTCTAATCAATAAAGTCACTGAGTAAATCGTTCGTTGAAAGTATACTTGAAAAGAACATATTCTGCTTTTTCTAAGATGACAAGATGCCACTAGACAATTATTCACCTAAAGACACTAATGTAGTAGTACAACACAACTGCAAGTAAATCTGATGTTGGTATGAACTGTACTATTTTTCATGTTACACGTTCTGATGAAACATGAAAAAGAATTAACCTGGGTTAATTCTGTGTTAATGCTACGTATTTTATAACGCAGTCTATAGCTACTCAGACCGTTGAAACAAGTGTTTTACTTATGAAAAGATTATTGTTAAAAATGTAAACTGATTAATTCATGTGGAATGGAACTCTCAAATCACTATAAAAGTTAAGCTTTAGACTTTACATTTCAAAATGTTCTCCCTCTATTAGGGCCATATCTCAGACTAACACCTACCTGTGGGAGGTAAGATTAACTTAGGGTGGCCTAAATCATATGCCTTCCATAGAGCATGCCCGTATCTAACAATTCCCCTTTTCCAGGTGGAATGGAACAGATGCATTTCTCCCTTTGAAGTCTTCTTCCCATTTAAAGAAACTGTTTATCAGATGCTGGTCATTTACTAGGTTCAGGACAGAACACCAATTACAGCACACCAGGCCAGTTAAGAATTATTAATTGCACACTTAAGATTGGAATTTAAGTTGCACTCTTTTCAGCAAGACTTAAGCCAATGTTTCAGTCACAGATATATATTGGCGTGCAGAATAAAAGCCCTTTGCTGTTTAACTCAGCCATTGAAGAATACAAAGAGGTATTGGTTCAACCAAGAGGACAGCAGACTACTGAAATCAGTACCTATCTGCAAGAAAATCAGATAATCAAAAAAACTGAACACTGTAAATTAAATTAATTATTGGAATAATTATTTTGACATTATATTTTCAGTGCAGACATGTTGTCCCAAAGAAACTGTATCACATTTCTTTGTAAGTGATAAAATGCTAGCTCGTGTTCTGCTCACCTCTCTAAAAGCACTCAGTTGCAAACATTTTGAAAACAGCAGATATATATGCATTATTTCTTCTAATATCACTTTATCTGCTCCTGCTAGATTTTACAAGAACAAATACCCATTCAAATGATACAACTACAAACTATACAACTACAAACACAAAGTATTTGCAATGATTTTTCCTAGATATGCAACTGATTTCAAATCTAATAACTCATGAGACTCCTTTAGATCCAAGCTTACATCTTTTAAAAGTATATCAGCAAGATATTTTCATTGAAAGTTCTGTTTTTCTGGTTTTGCAGCTGGCATGGGAAATTGCCTGTGAACATAATGAAACTATCCATATCCATATCCAGTACTCAAAAATAATTGTATTAACAATTTTGTATGTGAATGTTGCTTTGCACGTAGGGGAACAAAAGAGTAAGTCTGTATCTCTTTATATGGAGAAAAACAATCAAAAAAGTGGAACAGAAAAAATTAACAGAAGGATAAATATTGAGTCTAAAATTTCAGAGAACATCATTAGACATCAAAGAATCTGTAAATAAATAAATACTTCAGACCTAGTGCACATGCAAGTCACGTTACTTCCTCAAATTATCAAGTTTTGTACAAAGCAAGTGTTGGAAAAAAACCTGTAAAAAAATATACGGTTGTTGGAATTTGGTGCATATGGCTTTCCCTCTCTTCATTTTAAGTGGCTGAAAATACTGTATTTTCAGCTACAGTTGTTACATTTGCCTTGTTCTTTCAACCACAGTTCCTCATTCTCACCTCCACTGCATCTTTTCTATGGCCTCAGTTTAAGTAAATGAACTGGTCCATGATTCATGTGCCTGGACTCATGATGAAATAGCAGAGGCCCCTGACAGGAGAAGAATGGACAGGCATACGCAGGGACAGAAGATTGGTTACAAGCTCTTAAATGCAATAGATTAAACTCTGAGTAAAATCATTACCATTTAATATCCCAGCTTATACACAGGAACTGAAAATGCCATTCAAAGAAAAGTCTTTTATTCACTTCACTGAGTCCATGATTTTTCCCAGTATTCTCACCTTTGTTCACAAGCGACACGGGAACGTATTTCACGCACCTAAAGTTGTCTAAAAGTACTAGGGCCTTCTTTTATCTAATAACTCTCTTACCTCTTGGTTTACTCTGTAGAATATGCTTATTAGAGCCTGCCTCATATGCATTTATAAAAGACCACGTAAGATCAGGTTGTTTAAATTGCAAATAGACTATCTCTTCAATTTTCAGGCACACCAAAACACTTTCTCTACTCAAGTCAGATATTTGCCGATTAAGAAAAGTCCTTTTTTTTCTGCCAGCTTATGGTACTTGGAATAACATCTGATCTTACCTCTCCATTCTCCAGAGGATGGATCTTGGAATAATAAGAAGTGCATATAACTTCATCATCTTTTATATAGGATGGAGTTCCAGGACGGGGATGAATGTTGTAGCGTGTCAGGCACTCACTGTCTGTGATAGCGTAATACTGCCACGGTTGATAGTCTACACCATCCAGCGAACGCTCTAATATCCAATTCCCAGGTCGAGGCGAGTTAGCTGCTTTCACAATAACATATGCAATCTGGAAAATCTGAAAAATCGCCAAATTGTTAAAATGCATGTAAGTATATAATTATAAATTCATTTCAATTTCTTAACAGCTACGAAACTAGGAACAGTAAATATGACAATGTTTGATTTTTTTCCCTAAAAATGCAGTATGGCCTCAGATTCCATTGAAACTCTTTAACTACAGAAATAAATTCGCCATTAACATTTCTGAAAAAAGATTATTTGCAGTACGCCAGAAGAGACTTTGAAAATAGAATTTAAAAGGCACTCTAAGTTCCACATAACTTAGTAGGTAATTGCTAAGCTGCAGTTTCAGCCACATGTTTGCAAAGTTTGTTTTCAAGTATTTTCCATTAGTAGAAGTGGTTTTGTTTCTGTATTTGTATTTATAGACATATGCTTTCTGCAATGTCTAAGAGTTGCCAAATTCAGTTACAGCTTTATCGCTGTTAAGAAAAAACATAGGTTTAAGCAATTAAAAGGTAATCACATCACGCTGAAATCATTCTATGAAACATTCTTGTTTAAATCTCAAGACTCAGCATTGTGGCCATAAATAAGCATTACAGGACAGAGACACATCAAAGATCACTATAAACAGAATCTAAGCATGTAATCAATGCTCATTACTGTCCACTTCACCTGTCTTTTCAATTGATTTATCAAGGTTTATTTCTGTTTACAGGCTTGCCGGAATGCAAGCCACTAACAATACTTCGCAATTGCAGAATGGCATATGGTAGTGATGCAGTTTCATTTTGTTTGGGTCTTTTTTAACCTACTAACATCTAGATGCTACAGAGGTAAAACTGAAACTAAGGAAAGGAAGAGCTATTTCCATTAGAAAAGCAGAACACACAGCAAATTAGTATTTTTAAGATGCAGTGCTGTGAGTTTGCACATGAGGATGCCAGGGGGTGTGATGGAGAGAACAGTGTCGATCTAATATTTAATGTTTTCTCTGTCCGATAGTCATTGTAAAAAAGCTTCACAATTCAGACATAGTCCATGTAAAATCTGTTGTGTGTTTCAACAATCGGTAATGCAAGTGAACGAAGGTCCTGCAGTAATCGAAGACAGACACAGTAAGAAGACTCAAATTATTTCTTTAATATATTATAAACCAGAAATTATGCTAAGTGGCAGAGTACTGCAAATACTACCGTACATTTGGTGACAGAGGCAAAGAAAACATTTATCTCCATTTATCACTCCTGCCTTCTGTGTAGATGCCAAGAACATGGAAATATCCACAACAGCTTCAGTCAGGAAGTCAGATCACTAACAAAGTTTTTCAGTGGGAATAATAGTGGGTAAGGATATATTTATTTTGACCTGAAAAACGTGCATAACTGTGCATTCGTGGAGAATTATCTCAAGTTACCAATGTTTTTCTTCAATAGCATAAAAGAAAATCTCCAGAGACAAAGAGAAACCTGTGTTTTAACGGGAATCATACAATCGCTTGTCCCCTGTATCACGAATGCCCTCTCCTCTCTGAAACTCATTTACAGATATATTCCATTGCGGCCACAAATAACTATAACTGTAACTATACTGGATCACAGTTACCAATACTGTTTACAATAAGCAGAGAAAACCACAACATTAATATACCTCTCCAAACTGCTCCCCCTCCATTAAGCTCTTTGAAATGAAAGAAAATAGGTGGAGTGTTTCATTATTTATTATTTCCTAAGGGAGGTAATGAGCAACAGATACATTTTAAGGAACTAGTTTTTTAACAGTTTTTTTGTACGCTGTCCTTTGCATGAGCAAAGAACCCAAAGTAATGTAAATTGCTTTTACATCAGCATGATCTAGTCAAACCACATGAACTCTTTCCTCTCCAGTCATTCAAAATAGCGATTTCATTCTGGAGTACTTCTAAATACTGTCTTAAAAAATTTTTAGATAAGTATTTCACCTCCTGTTCTCATAAGACAACTATTCCTCATATGTTCAATTGATAAAAACTAAGGTTAAACACATTGCTAGGGCTTCTACCATGGAAGATCTGTGGACATAGCTGACAAGAAATTCATAACTTCAGGTGTGCATATATAGTTGCCTTTGTGGAAGTCTCTAAATCTGTGAAACTTCATAGAAGATTCAGTGTTAAATACTGCCTTTAGCAAAAAAAACCCTTTAGTTCTGCAAACATCTTGGATGCACTGGTCTGTGGGGCCAAGAGGTGTAATCAACAGGAAGTCTTTTTTTGTTGGCTTGCTTTGAAACACTGAGCTGTGTGGGAGAGTGAAACTCTCTACAGTTACTTTTCAAATTAGAGCTTTATTTCAGAAACATTTCCTGCACATTCTGCTGAGGATTTGTTTGAAGTCTCATTTCCTACCTTCTGGGATAGCGTACTGTTTGACTGCAATTTATTATATACCTTTGGCTTTGTTTATTTGCAAATGAAACTGCAACAAAGTTTTCGTTAAAAAAAGCAGTAGAGAGGAAACTGCATACTGTAGTTCATAATGGGGTGAACAGTATTTCTCTTAATCTAAACTTGAGGATGAAAAAAGCTTGTTAACATAAATAAAAGAGTACACATGAAGGGTTGTTTTTTAACTACTACCTAATTACAGTTCTCAGCCTGATCCAGACTACTACTACTGTCTTAGCCTTCCAGAGTTCCTGTAGTGGCTTCAGCAACAGCACCGAGCTATCTGCAACCCACTGGCATGTGAAACATTCTCTTTCCTCTTCCAAGTCTCTGTGGAACTGAGTGGAACTGAAAGATTGTTTTTTATAAAACAAAGTTATTTCCTGGGCAGACAAATGGAACTGCAACTAAAGACCAGAATTTTTAAATGTTAGTCGGCTGTTAATGCTAATTGCAGTCAAGGGAAAATGAATAAGCACATGCATCAAAAACATGGACTGGTTGATATTATTCCTGATCTTTCTCACTAAGGCTAAGCTGAAGAAGGTACAGGATGCTAATCCCTGCTTCTTCGAAATGCCTTTTCTTTGGGGGACACCTAGACTTGTAAAGCTTTAGCATGAATCAAGAAGACAGTTGTCCCAGCTTAGAGAGCTATATTAGTCACTACCAGATCATCACAGAGATAAGAAACTAGGTGTATTCCATGCTTTCATGTGCTTTCTAAACAAGCTGATGATAATAACTAGTGGAGAAAAAAACCAGACTAAAATTAATGGCAGCTGCATGATGATTCTCAAAGCAAGTCAATGTCATGGAAGCAACATTGACTTTCCAACTAATTGAAAACTTTCACAGAATCATAGAATGGTTTGGGTTGGAAGGGATCTTAAAGATCATCTAGTTTTGACCCCCCTGCCATAGGCAGGGACACCCTCCACTACACCAGGTTGCCCAAAGCCTCATCCAACCTGGCCTTGAACACCTCCAGGGAAGGGGCAGCCACAACTTCTCTGGGCAACCTCTTCCAGTGTTTCACAGTTCTCACCGTAAAAAATTTCTTCCTTATATCTAATCTAAATCTACTGAAATCTCTTTCAGTTTAAAGCCAGTGCCCCTTGTCCTATTGTGGAGAAACCTTTTGGCTGCTGCAGCATCCTGTGAAGGTTCTTTCGTCCAAATACTGTTTCATAGATTAGCTTATCCCCTAGCTGCTTCCACGCTTCTGAGCTAAAGGGGGTGTTGAGGTCAGTCATCCATCCAGCCAATCACTCTGGGAGATGGATGGTCAAGTGACCAATAGCCTTGACCATCTAGCAAACCATGTGACTCCTGACTATTTAAGGCAGGGCGTTTACTCCTAAGGGTGAGGCATTTTCTCCTGAGCCTTGGAGGAGTGTGGGCTTTCCTTTGAGTAGAGCCTAAAGCCTTTGCATTAGAACATTGGTCTGCTTGGAGCCGCCTGAAGCCTTCCAGCTGCGACATCCTATCACTACACACCCTTGTAAAAAGTCCCTCTCCAGCTTTACTGTAGGCCCCCTTTAGGCACTGGAAGGCTGCTAGAAGGTCTCCCCGGAGCCTTCTCTTCTCCAGGCTGAACAGCCCCAACTCTCTCAGCCTGTCTTCATAGCAGAGGTGCTCCAGCCCTCGGATCATCTTCGTGGCCCTCCTCTGGACTTATTCCAACAGCTCCATGTCCTTCTTGTGTTGGGGGCCCCAGAGCTGAACGCAGTATTCCAGGTGGGGTCTCACAAGAGCAGAGTCGAGGGGCAGAATCATCTCCCTCGACCTGCTGGCCACACTTCTTTTGATGCAGCTCAGGATACAGTTGGCTTTCTGGGCTGCAAGTGCACATTGCCGGCTCATGTTGAGCCTCTCATCAACCAGCAACCTCAAGTCCTTCTCCTCTGGGCTGCTCTCAATCCATTCTCTGCCCAGCCTGTACTTGTGCTTAGGATTGCCCCGACCCACATGCAGGACCCTGCACTTAGTCTTGTTGAACGTCATGAGGTTCTCACCTCTCCAGCCTGACAAGCTCCTTCTGGATGGCATCCCTTCCCTCTCCAGGTATAAGAGTAACCTTTCTTTTATCATGGAGTTGCTTAGCAAATGGTGTTCTGGTTACTACAATACAACCAGCTAGAGCTTAGTGGCGTGAGAATACTAATACCAATAAAGTGTAATGTATCACTGAGTTTTGCTGTATTTATTTCCACAATCAAGAAAAGTGAATCTGCTCAGCTTTCTCGAGCCAAGCTTCCTAGTAAATTGTAACAGTGAGCTTCTATTCCCACAGGGTAATTGATGGAGCATGCCTGGTTTACTTTTCAAATAGCATCAATAAGCTGACACTTGGCAATTGATGTAAAAATTCTACAATCTTAGAGCACATCTGGTTTTGTACAAGTCTGACAGAATGCAACCTGGAGACCAAAGTTTGCTGATCCAAATGTGAAAACGGAGCAATACCAAGCTGCCTAGTAGTATGCAATAGTCCATTAACACAGCTGCCAAAGTGCAGCTGTAGCTTTTTTCTACTTGCTCTGCTCATGTGACCATAGTGCAATTATGGGAGTGGGAGAGAAATAGTCTAAATAGTCATAGAATCATAGTCCTTTAAGCCTTTC